TCTTTAATAATATTAAAGAAAAATATAGAAAACACTTTTACAAGTTTGGGGTGGGAAACACCTTCCTAAATAAGTTACAAAACCTAGGTACCATTGCCATTTGTTGAATATAAATTACATCTCAATAAAAAAATAGTACTGGAATGCAAAAAAGAAAAAAATGGCAAATTTGACCATATAAATATCCTGAAAATGTAAAATATCTATATGGTAAAATAAACCATAAAGTGTAAAGACAAATAACAAAGAGGAGGAAACCTCTGCACCATATATAACAACAAAGGAATAAATGGTCAGAAAAAAAAAAGTATATATATATATACATAGTGACCCTTGAATAATGTGGGGATTAGGGGCACCAACCTCCTGCACAGTCAAAAATCCACTTAGAACTTTTGGCTCCCGGAACTTACCCACTAAAAGCCTACTGTTGACTGGAAGCCTTCCAACAACATAAATAGCTGATAGACACATATTTGTTATGTTATATGTATTATACATCATACTCTTACAATAAAATAAGCTAGAGAAAAGAAAATATTTCTTCAAATTGTTGCAACTCCCCAAAAAATTTTCCAACATATTTATTGAAAAATATCTTTGTATAACTGGACCTACGCAATGCAAACCCATGTTGTTCAAAGGTCAACTGTATATGAAAAAGACAGCAACTAATTGAAAAATAGGCAAAGGTTATGGACAGGCAATTGACAGAAGAAATTTTTAAACAGTCAATAAACATATGAAGAGATGTTCAACCTCACTAATAATTAAATACAAGAATTGAAAATAAATTGTATTGCATTGAATATAATAATTAAAATTAAAACAATGAAATATTATTTTCCCATCATTGTGATAAATAATAGAAAAGATTAATAATATCCATTGTTGATGAGGTTCAGGGAAATAGACACTATTATGCAATGATGGTCAGAGTATAAATTTGTAAAGTCTTTTGGATCACATTCGGGCATTGTTTACTAAATATTTAAATATGCATAGCCTTAGGCCCAGCAATTCTATTTCCAGGACTCTAATGAAGAGAAACACTTAGAGATGTGTACAAGGTTGTTCACTGAAGTACTGGTGCATTAATGAAAAAGTTGAAGTTTCCTAAGTCTTCATCACTTGGGGGAATGATGGGATGCAGTTTGGTATCGTCTCACTGTGTAGTAGCAATTACAAAAAAGTGCAAATAATACCATCGACAATATTTATAAAGCGTTAAGTGTAATATTGTTAAAATATATTGTGGGTGGGCATGAATGCCAATGGGAGAGGGACTTGAAGGATCTAAATCAAATTATTGACAAGGATTCTCTCTGGGGATGCAGCAGAACTGGGGATATCAGGCTACAAGCAGGAGACACACAGATGTTCACATTACAGTTTTTGTATTGTTTGACTTTTGTACACACAGTTTGTTTTTCATAATCCCTGTGCCACAGAGCTTACAAAAACATTGGAGTGACTACCTGTAGCTTGTCTTAGGTGGGAAAGGTCTCCATGCGCTCACACACACAAAGAGGCCTGATGGAGGTGGAAGTATACAAGGGACCTGGACTAAGATGTACAATTGGAACAGGCTGAGGGGAGGAAAGGGGAGGTCTCCCAGAATGAGTTATGTTCCCCACCAAGCCATGCCTACCTCAGTCATCCACAGCAGGGGGTGCTGTCCAAAAGCATTTCACTTGTTCAATAAGTACTTACTGAGGGTCTCAGCTGTGTACCAAATATTGTTCTAGGCCTTCATAGTCACCATCATTGTCATAATCATCATCCCCAAAAGGAAAACATCATGTAGGCCAATCCATGGGAAAAAGGCATTTCGAAGTTATAAAGAATGCAAACTCATTAATTACTCTAGAGGTCACTTCCCCTTTTAAAATCATGCCAATCTAAAGTGTATCAATCTTTAAAATGAGTATACCTTTGGACCCAGCAATCTTATTTCTAGGACTTTGTTCTAGGACAGGGACATTTGTGGAGATTCACTGATAAGGATTTAGAATAATAAAACTGTCCAAAAACAGTAACTGAAAGCTAAACTGTGGTACATTCATATTATGAAATACTATTCTGCCATTAAAAGTATGTTATAAAAGCATATTTAACAACATGAGAAAATGTGTACACTATTAATAATCTGAGAAAAAAGAGTCATAAACACTATTTATAGTATGAGTGGAATTAGGTTTTTAATTTTTATTTGCATAAAAATGACTGGAAGGACTTATACTGAAGTAAGAGTTAGGTCAAGTCATTTTTATTTTTCTCTTTAAACCTTTTCAGCATTTTTCCATATTCTAATTGAACCATATTATTTTTGCAACAGAAACAATCAACCTATGGAAATTGGGGTAACTAATAAGTGCCAACATTCCTATCACATGTGCTCTAGGCCAGGCACTCTCCCTTAATATGCAGCATGAGTCAACCTCCATTTGCAATGGTGAGATGAGAAATAATCATGCATTAGCCTGCTTTTCTGAGAGTTTACAGAGAAGGGCAAGCAATTTTATCTCACATTGAGAACATTGCAAGGGAAAGCCTGATAGCCTGTGGTAAAGGGCAGGGGGTAGGGGTATCGTTAGGTAGGTTTCTCTCTTGTGGATGGCTTGAGAAGCAATGTGAGCTTGTTAGAAAAGAGGAGATATGGAGCCCAGCAGGGTAAAGGCCCTCACTCCCAAAATACCTCTGAGAGGGTCTACTACAACCCAAACATATTTGCCCACAAAACTTTTCACTGTGCTATTTTGTTCTTGTTCTTGTTTCTATGTAACAACTATTAACATGAGGTGAATACTTAGAAAAGCAAGGTCACTGGAGATAAGAAAAGCAAAGGGCGAAGGGAAAGGCACCCTGGAGCTGCAGGTCTGTCCCCACCTTGCCTGGGAAGGACAGCAGGCCAACCTTCCTTCACATGCTCTCCCCGTAACCACGTTCCAACATAAACAAGTCAGTCTGCATTCTGGCCACTTACCTGGGATTACCTTCCTTTAACCTTTAACCTTCCTTTAACCACCATGTTGTAGCCACCTGAAGCCTTTGTGGAATGTTCTGGAAGTCACAGTCATTGCTTCCTTAGGTTTTGAATCTTCCAGTCAGAAAACCACAGCCCTGCCCAGATGCTGAGGGCATGTGAGGAGAAGGAGGTGCAGAGCAAAGCAGACACAGCGAGAGAGGTTCAGGTGAGAGAG